ATATCTAGAGGAGGTCCCTTACTCACACATCTACTGTTTGCAGATGACCTCTTAATCTTTTGTAAAGCTGGTGTGTGGCAAGCTCTTTTGCTGATGGATATCTTGCAGGATTATGAGAACTTCTCTGGGCAAAAGGTGAATTTGGCTAAATCTACAGTGTTTTTCAGCAAAAAAAATGCTGGAAGCTGACAAGTTTATCATCTGCTCAATGCTAAATGATCTTACAGCCCACAACTCCTCTAGTTATCTGGGGCTACCCTTTGGAATTCGAAGATCTAAAAGAGAATCTGTTGATTTTGACATTGAAGTGGTGAAGCACAGACAAATGACATAGAAGAAAAAGTTTCTTTCAACTGATGGGAAGGAAGTATTAGTTAAAGCAGTAATCAACTCACTCTCTGTCTTTGTTATGCCATGCTTTAGACTGACAACTGAAATTTGCCAAGAGATTGCAAGACTAACAGCTCAGCTTTGGTGGAATAAGGGTGGTGATAAGGTGAAGAGCATACACTGGAAGAGCTGTAATATCCTTTCTCTGCCTAAGAAACATAGAGGATTAGACTTTCAAGATATCAGATTATTCAATGAGGCTTTAATTTTGAAACAGCTATGGAGGATCACTACAAAACCAGAGCTACTTGTTGCCAAAGTTCTTAAATGTAATTATTTTCCCAATACCTCCATTTTTTAAGCTCAAAGGAAAGACTCTTCTTCTTGGATGTGGAGCAACTGGCTCCATGTTCTTCCTATGTTCAAACATAATTCCTAGAGAGAGATCAAAAATAGCAGAAACACAAAAATCCAAGAGGGGGATGGGTTCCTACTTTAAGAGGCAAGCCACCCACAATCCAAAACTTAAGAGGGCAACCCCCAAATCTGGGTATCTGACCTATTAGAAGAGAATGGGAATAACTAGGATGTGGAGGAGGTGAAATACTGGTTTTCTGAGTAAGAGAGTTCTGCCATATGTGGAATTAAAACCATAGAGCTGAAGAAGGAAGACGGATGGATGTGGACTCACAGTAGCAAAGGAAATTTTTCAGTAGCTGAGTCTTACAAACTGTTAATCTCTGAGAAATTTCAAGAAGCTAGATATTGTAGAAGGCAACAAAGCAGTTCTGACCCTAAGGTGAGAGAAAGAAGATGGAAATTGCAAGTGAAAGGAAAAATCAGACATTTTGTATGGAGATGTTATAGTGGGATCCTACCTGTGAGAATGAACCTTCATAAAAGAGGTATGGCATTGAACACATTATCCTAAACTGCAACAAGGCCAAAATGGTTTGGAAGCTAGCACCTCTGTCCTGGGATGGAAATAACTTGAAGAATTCAAATTTCAAAGAGTGGTGGTGGCAGATTTGTGCCATTAGCAAAACTGAAGTTTCTGAGGCTAGAATTCAACTATCTACTTACATACTTTGGTGGCTGTGGAGAGCCAGAAACTTATGGGTCTTTCAGAAGGAGAGAATACCTGAGAATGCTATCATAAGTAGAGCAATGGGAGAATGGCAGGAATTTTGTGCAGTGCAGAAGCTGAGGGATCATGTAGCTAGTCTTTGATGGTGTGTTTGGTTTTTATGTAGTCTTGTATCATGTTGCTTTTCTTTTCTTTCTTGTATTTCTTCTCTGTTCAGTAGTGGTTTGTTTTTTGGTAGTTAGTTTTAGATGGTTTCAGGAGTTGGTTAGTAGGTGTTTAGGGGTTGTTTGGTTTTTATTTTGGCTTTGTTAGTTTGGTGGTTTTAGAGGTGCTATCAAGGGTCGGGTGATTTTACCTGCTTGATACCTCGGGTTGGGTATTTGTAGTCCAATGTTTCAGTGGGTCTCCCAATTTGTTTCTACCCGTTGGTAGGCTCGGAGGTTTGATCATGTAATACTTATTTGGTAATGAGAATGTTCTATCGTTTGAAAAAAAAAAAAAAAATCAGTAAATCTCCCACCCTGGATATATGCTCAGCCCAAAATCCATAAGTAGAGAAATCAAATTTCTAAGTGAGGTAGGTAAGAAAGTGTTGATCAAGTGTTTTTTAGTGCTTGCCTTATGTGATGTCTTGCTTTAGTGTCCCTTTTGCCATTGATCAAGTTTGTTCTTAATGCTATCACAACTTGTCATAGTGAGGTTCCATCAGTTTCAGTCATATACTTCTAATCCACTTCATTAATTTAGCCAAAAAGCTTAAATTAGAACGGTACCCAAAAGCTCGGCGCATTTGATGCCCCCAAATCATTGAATCCATCGACTTAGACTTTATATTGGCACCTCAAGCTATAGATAATAATGTTTTCATGAAGATAATATATCCACCGCTATTATCAGCATAGATCTGTATGTGTCGTTTCGTTCAGATGTTTGTTGAATTTCTATTTATTATCTGATGTAATAGATAAGTCGTTATTTGTTTATATATATATATATATATATATATATATATATATATATATAT